CTTGAAAAAAAAAAAAAAAAAAGGTAATAGAAGCTGACTCATACGAAATCCAGATCTTCAAATTATCATAAAATTTGAAACAATCATGATTAACATGTTCAAGAAGTCAGATAAAAAGACATAAAATTTTATAACTTCCAATTGCTACAGAACTAGAATTTTTAATAAAAAGAATCAGATAGAAATTCTAAAACTGGAACATAAAATAGCTAAAATTAAGAGCTCAATAGATGTGGTGGAAATGTAAATTGGTGAAGCTATTATGAAAAACAGTATGGAGGTTCCTCAAAAAATTAAAAACAGAACTACCATATGATCCAGCAATTCCACTTCTGGGCATTTATCCGAAGGAAATGAAATCATTATCTTGAAAAGATATCTGCACCTTCATGTTCATTGCAGCATTATTTATAATAGCCAAGGCATGGAAACAACCTAAGGGTCCATCAACAGATGAATGGATAAAGAAAGGTGGCGTGCACGCACGCACATACACAGGAATATTATTCAGCCATAAAAAAGAAAGAAATCCTGCCATTTGCAACATGGATGGACCTTGAGGGCATTATGCTAAATGAATAAGACAGAGAAAGACACATGCTGTATGATCTCACCTGTATGTGGAATCCAAAAAAAAAAAAAACCAACGAACTCATAGATACAGAGAACAGACTGGTGGTTGCTAGACGTGGGGGGTTGGGGGTGGGTGAAATGGGTGAAGGTGGTTAAAAGGTACATATTTCCAGTTACAAAATAAATAAGTCCTGGCAATGTAACGTACAGCACGGTGACTATAGTTAACAATACTGTATTGTATATTTGAAAGTTGCTAAGAGAGTAAATCTTAAAAGTTCTCATCACAAGAAAAAAAATTTGTAACTGTGTGTGGTGATGGATGTTAACTAAACTTATTGTGCTAATCATTTTGCAATATATACATATATCAAATCATTACGTTGTACACCTAAAACTAATACAATGTTATACGTCAATTATATCTCAATTTAAAAAAAGAGAACTCAGGGGCCGGCGACATGGCTTAGCGGTTAAGTGCGCGCGCTCCGCTGCTGGCGGCCCGGGTTCGGATCCCGGGCGCGCACCGACGCACCGTTTCTCTGGCCATGCTGAGGCCGTGTCCCATGTACAGCAACTAGAGGGATGTGCATCTATGACATACAACTCTCTACTGGGGCTTTAGGGGAAATAAATAAATAAATAAAATTTAAAAAAAAAAAAAGAGAACTCAGAAGATGTGTTTAACAGCATGTTAGACACAGCTGAAGAAAGGACTGGTGAGTCAGGTCAAAATAAAATATCCAGACTGAATCATGAGGGAAAAAAGAAGAGAAATACAAAAAAGAACATCAAGTATATATAGGACATAGTAAAAAAGCCTAACATACAACTAATTGGGGTCCCAAAATTATATGTGAGAAAAAATGAGGCAGAGAAAATATATAAAGAGATAATGGCTGAGAATTTTCTAAAACTGATGAGAAAAATCAAGCCACAGATTCAAGAAGCACTATAAACTCCAAGCAGAAAATATACATATCACTTTTAAAGGAGTTTAAATAAGATTTATAGCTGACTTCTCAACAGAAATAATGAAGAGCAAAAGAAATAAGATCTTCAAAATGCTGAAAGAAAACAACTGCCAACATAGAATTCGATGTCCAGTGAAACTGTCTTTCAAATTTGCTCTTTAGATTCAGTGTAACCCCTAGCAAAAGCCCTGAAGATTTTGTTGTGCAAATTAACAAACATAAATCCTAAAATTTATGAAAACGCAAAGGACCAAGAATAGCAAAGAGAAATTTGAAGATAAACAAAGTTGGAGGATTTCCTATACCAGATATCAAGACTTATTATAAAGCTACAGCAATTATAACAGTATAGTTTCTTGAAAAGAAAGACAAATATGCCAATAAACAGAACAGAGTCCAGAAACAGACCCACACATATATGGATACTTGATTTATGACAAAGGTGACATGGCAGAGCAGTGGGAAATGAATAATCTTTTCCCACTGGGCCAATTGACGCTGGGCCAATTAGATACCATTTTTGGTATCCTTACTTTGTTCACTACATGCAAAAATCAGTTTCAAATGGAATGTAAATCTAAATGGGAAAAGTAAAACAAAAACATCTCTAGAAGATAACAGAAGAATATCTTCATTATGTTAGGTAGGCAAAGGTATCTTAAAATAAGACCCAAAAGCACTAAACATAGTGATAAATTAGATTACATTAAAATTAAGAACTTCTGTTCTACTATCAGGAGGGTGAAAAGATAAGCCTCAGGGGCCAGCCCGTGGCATAGCAGTTACGTGCGCATGCTCTGCTGCTGGCAGCCCAGGTTTGGATCCCGGGTGTGCACCGACGCACCGCTTGTCAGGCCATGCTGTGGCGGTGTCCCACATAAAGTGGAGGAAGATAGGCACAGATGTTAGCCCAGGGCCAGTCTTCCTCAGCAAAAAGAGGAGGATTGGCATGGATGTTAGCTCAGGGCTGATCTTCCTCACAAAAAAAAAAAAAAAAAAAAAGATAAGCCATAGAGTGGAAGAAGACATTTACAATATATATATTCAATAAACAACTCATATCCAGAATACATAAAGAACTCTTACACATCAATAAGAAAAAGACAGACAGTTCCATAGAAAAAATAGGCAAAAGACTTGAATTCTCACTTCAGAAAGAAGGGCCAATACAGAAAGAGAAAGACAGTGCATGATTTCACTCATATGTGGAAGATAAACCAACACACGGACAGACAGAACTGTCTGGTGGTTACCAGGGGCTAGGGGGCGAGGGGTGGGCACAAGGGGTGGAGGGATGCACTTATATGGTGACTGATAAACAATAATGTACAACAAAAATTTCACAATAAAAAATAAATTTAAAAAAAAAGGGCCAATAAACACATGAAAAGGTGTCCAAATTCATTAGTCATCAGTGAAATGCAGCACTTTCAAGTCAAATGGGAGACATTTCATTCTATATTTTTCCAGAAGGCAAAGCCAGGATCAATGAATGGAAATAATAATAATAAAAATAATAAAGATGGTGATGATGACAATATTATAAATGCTTTCTCTATGCCAGGAACTGTGCTAAATGCATTCTTATTTAACCTTCACCTATGGGATAGGCACTATTACCTTCATTTTACAGATGAAGAAGCTGAAGCTTAACTGAAAGGTTAACTTGCCCAAACTTCTCTGGCTGCTAAGTGATGAGTCAGGACTCCAATCCAAGCAGTCTGACTTCAGAATCCTTGTACTCAACCATATAACATACAATCTACAGATTTTAATTCAATAAGAAGAAGAACTTTCTAACATCAGAGGTGTTCAACAACAGAACCTCAGTGAGCCCCGGTCAATGGAAGTGTGCAAGAACAGGCTGAACAACGATGATGGCTACTACCCACCTAATCTTCATGGCCAGGTGATGTACTAAGCACTTTCCCCGGACCCTCTCGTGGAATCCTCATAATAATCCTATGTAGTAGTATTCCCTGTTTTACAAATGAAGAGGCTGAAGTTCAGAGAGATTAAGCAGCTTTTCCAAAGTCAGTAAATGGCAGCCCTGTAATATGAAAACAGGTTAGGCTGACAGCAGAGGTCATTCTCTCTCCACTCTGTTCTGCTGCCTCCAAGTCAAAAAAGCTGAATAGAGGATTCCTACACAGGCAGGAGGTAGGTCTCTCAAGCCTATCCAAGATTCTATAAGCCTTGGTCTTTCAATTTCTTAGAGTGGTTGAGGCAGGATGGTGAGAAGTGGACAGATTAGATAAATGAGTCAGATGACAACACAGAGACAACAGCTATATATTTTTCATATTTTTAAATTTAAAATTTTTTTTTAAAATTTTCGTGAGGAAGATCAGCCCTGAGCTAACATCCATGCTAATCCTCTTTTTTTGCTGAGGAAGACCGGCTCTGAGCTAACATCTATTGCCAATCCTCCTCCTTTTTTTTCCCCAAAGCCCCAGTAGATAGTTGTATGACACAGTTGCAGATCCTTCTAGTTGCTGTATGTGGGACCACGGCCTCAGCATGGCCGGACAAGCGGTGCATCGGTGCGCGCCCGGGATCCAAACCTGGGCCACCAGTAGTGGAGTGCACGCACTTAACCGCTAAGCCACGGGGCCGGCCCTATTTTTTATATTTTTAGAAGTATCTGTTTTAAATAAATATTTTTAGAATACGCCAATTAAAGAAAGTACAAACAACTTAAAAATATGAAATGACTTTCAACATTTATAATAAGAGAATATAAATTAGATGCTATCAGTTTGGCAAAACCCAAAAAGTCTGACACCACCAATGATGGCAGGATGTGAGGAAACGGTACTCTTCTTCATTCCCAGTAGATGTGAAACTGATTCACCTTCCATAGAGAATGATTTAGTAACCTCTGTCAAAATCTTAAATGCATATAAACTGTTATCCAGCAATTATACTTCAAAAACATTAAACTAAAAAGGATTGAACCTCAGGGTACATTATTAAATGAAAAAAATACAAAGTTCAGAATAGAAAACTGAGTATAATACACTACCATTCCTATTTTTACAAAAATACACACAGTTGTATTTGTATATACACAAAAAATAAATTTTAAAGGATACAGAAGAAAATATAAATAAGGGTCATCTGTAGGGAGAGGAAGTAGATGGCTGTGAGATAGGAGTAAGAGGGAAACATACTCTTCACTGGATAACCTTTGGCACCTTCTAAATTTTGCACCATGTGCTGTATTAATACTCAAAAATGAATAAAATGGGGGGGTGGGCCCCATGACCTACCGGTTAAGTTTGGCACACTCTGCTTCAGTGGCCCAGGTTCAGTTCCCAGGCACAGACCTATAGCACTTGTCAGCAGCCATTCTGTGGCGGCCCACATACAAAATAGAGGGAGACTGGCACAGGTGTTAGCTCAGGGCAAATCTTCCTCAGAAGGTAGGTAGGTAGATAAGTAGGTAAGTAAGTAAATAAATAAATAAATAAATAAAATGGGCTTATTCATACTTATTTTAGTGAGGATTTCTGAGCAACCAAGTGAGTTGAGAAATAAAATAAGCCTAATAACTTTCTACTCAGGTTCAAACTCTTTTTGCTAGCTAACTGTCTCTTATGAAGATAGGAGGCAGTCATCTAAGCTGAAATGACAATTCTGCAGATGACTGTGTTCTCCAAATCATCCATGTAGAGCTGGCCAGGTCCAGAAATAGCCCTAGATATTCAATTATGTTATGTAGGAGCTGGATCCAGGATGTGGAGGCCAGATTTGGCTGGCTGGATGTCCCAGGTCAGGAATCACTCACCCGGTCATAGGTGTCCCCCTCCAGTTCTCCCCACTTCCTGCCATCCCATGAGGTGACTCGAACTCGATTCCTATCCCTGATATCTTGAGGTACATAGCTGTGAAGGACCTTCTGCAGTCTGCCTGTTCGGGAAGTGGAGAGATCATTGGCAGCGAGATTGCCTGTGGGAATATAAATTTTAGGATTTTTTTCCTCCATCTGTAAAAAATGCCACTGGAATCTTGACAGGGATTGCACGGAACCTATAGATGGCTTTGGGTAGTATGGACATTTTATGTCTGTGGGAATAAAGAAACTTCAGAGGCCACGGCCCAGTGAAACATCCCATCAGCAATGGTGCTGATGGAGTGTCAGACCAATTCTCAGGCACAGCCAATCAATGCAGACCCCAGGGCAGAGGAGGGGCAGGTGGAGGAGAAACATTTATTGTGTGCACGGCACCATACTAGACGCTCTGGAGCAAGGGCTGCAAAGGCAAACACCCACACAGGCCAGAAAGGTTTTGTAAATAAATAAAGTAGACCAGGTAAGAATATTTATTTCTAAAGAAATATGCTCTCTCCCACTTTTCTTGAAACATGTGTCTCCATCTTTGGCAGACACTACACGTTATTTACCCAAAATTTATTCTCCTCTTATTCCTTAGTAATAGAACTCCAATTTTATTTGGGGAGGGGGAGCAATGTACTCCAAAAGACCACAGTTCTCAGCCTCCTTTTTTTTTTGTGAGGAAGATCAGCCCTGAGCTAACATCCATGCTATTCCTCTTCTTTTTTTTGCTGAGGAAGACCGGCTCTGAGCTAACATCTATTGCCAATCCTCCTCCTTTTTTTTTTTTCCCCAAAACCCCAGTAGATAGTTGTATGTCATAGTTGCACATCCTTCTAGTTGCTCTATGTGGGATGCGGCCTCAGCATGGTTGGACAAGCGGTGCGTCGGTGCGTGCCTGGGATCTGAACCCGGGCCGCCAGTAGCGGAGCGCGCGTGCTTAACCACTAAGCCACAGGGCCGACCCTCAGTCTCCTTTTATAACTAAGTATGACTACATGACTAAGTTTTGGTCAATGCGTTATAGTAAGAATTACTGTGTGAGACTTCTGGAAATGAGACTTAGGAAATGTGCCTCTTTTGTCCAGTCTTTTCTTCCTGCCTTGAATCTGAATGTGATGACTGGAGTTCCAGCAACCATCTTGGACCATGAATCCTGAGGACGGAAGCCAGCAATAAAATAGGTTGCCAGTGATGACTGTGGAGCCTCCATACCAGCCCTGGACTGCCTATATCCCAGATTCTCTCATGTAAGAGAGAAATAAACTTTTCTTCTTTAAGCCAGTTAGTTGAGTTTTCTATCGTATACAATCAAACCTAATCCTAAGTGATTCACCGTCCATCTTTCATTTTCCCTTTTGTGATAGACACGAGTTCAAGAAATATCTCACTTTGCTCTTGGCTCTACTATAAGAAAAAATACTACTGCAAGCTTGATGATAAATGGCATTTGATACCTGGCCTCAGAGTCAAGGAATGAAAGGGGGACGTGGGAACTGTGGTGAAGAACTGGAGAGTACATACCTTATCTAACAGGAGTGGTCACTACCATAAACCAGCTTAGTGTTCCCACAAAGAAATATGGTTCCAGGGCCTGCCCCATGGCTTAGTGGTTAAGTGCGCGCGCTCCGCTGCTGGCGGCCCGGGGTTCGGATCCCGGGCGTGCACCGACGCACCGTTTCTCTGGCCATGCTGAGGCTGCGTCCCACATACAGCAACTAGAAGGATGTGCAGCTACGACATACAACTATCTACTGGGGCTTTGGGGGTAAAATAAATAAATAAAATCTTTAAAAAATAAATAAATAAATAAAAGAAAAGAAATATGGTTTCAATTCTTGAGGGCACGCAAAGAAGTAAAAACTGGATTCTCTGCTCAAGAAGAATTTGCAGCAGGATATGAACTGAGAACAGAAAAGCTGGGTTCCAGTTCTGGCTCTACCTCCAACTCATGTAAAAAATTGAAGTTATTTAATCTCTCCAGAGCTCAATTTCCTCCTCCATAAAATATGAGGGCTGGACTAGGTAAACTCTAAGTTCCTTTCTTGAACTGAAATTCTGTGCTCCTGTCTCCCTGGGATCAAGGAGTCATTTGGGTGAGGTGCTGGGACGAGAGTGAGGCACTGGTAATTCAGCACCTCTTAGAAGAGCCAGTCTCAATTACTTCTCCTTGGCCGTTCTCCCTCCTCTTAGTTCAAGTTCCTCCTCTTCCGAGTAACCCTACCTCATTCACCCCCCTTCTGAAGGATTCCCACCCACTCAGATCAGCACAGCCCAGCACACATGTTGGGCTCTCTTGCATTGGACTCATTAAGCCATATCAACATATCTGTGGATTTCCAGAAGGCTGAGATCAAATGTGGTACCTCTCCGAATCACTCATGGGGCCTACCATGAGGCTGGAAGCTAACTCAAACTGAGCAAGCTGGCTGATGAGAACTGGAAAAGAAGAGTCCAGGCCCAACAAAAAGGCCAGGGCATACGGCAAGAGAAGCCTGGCTGAGCTCCAGGGTGAGTGTGAAAATCACAGTCCCCTGTGGATATTTCTCAGGTCCCCAAAGAAAAAATACTGCCTGTTTTAAGGCAGGACGTTGGCCAGTGGATGGCTGAAATAACACCTACAGCGAGTGCACAGGCCTGCACTGGGCTAGACTACTGAGATGAGGAAGACTTGGGCCTGTCCCCAAGGAATTCATAATCTTAAAGAAGGAGAAGATGCATACCTAGTAAAGCTCTGATGCAAAGCTAATGTACTAATAGTTGCAAGGGTGATGCCCACTGTGTAGGAGCACAAGAGACAGACGCATCACTTCTCAACTGGCCAGCAGTGTGCCAGAAGGTGGCACACTAGAGCTGAGGCTTGAAAGCTAAAAGGATATAGATAGGCCAGCTGGGATGGGGTAGGGGTATTCTAGAGAGAAAGCATAACATGAGCAAAGGTGGAGGCTTATTGGGGCATCAGAGAGTAGCAGGATGTGGCTGAAGCACATAAAGCCTGGAGAAGAACGATATATAAAGCTATAAAGGGTGGCTGCTGCCAGACCTTATCACTTTAGCTGGCAGGCTAAGGAAATGGAAATTAATCTTAGAGACAAAGTAAACAGATGCAGAGGAGTGCAAGTGTCATGTGGCAGATTGATCAGGGCCCTGCTTTAATCTGCCTTCAGAGACCTCGCTCTGCTCAGTAATCTTCGTTGGAAAACTGACAGAGAAAGGAAGGAAATAATCACAAACAGAAAAAATACACCAGTTTAGCAAGCAAGCACTATCGCCCCTCTGATCCTGGACCAAAGAACTCACCACATTCAGTGTACCCCTGACTGGGTGAGGTGGGGAGCCCTCCCTGCCCAAGACACCAGCCCTCTGACTTACGACAACAGCCAGTCTGAAGCAATGCTAGTGTCTTTCCCCCAGGGGCTGCACATAGGTCAAGCACAGTGTCACCAGGCTGCAGGCCGAGGGCCAGGACAGGCAACAAGGAGGCAGCATCCATCAGGTAGTAGTCCATGACACCCAGGCTGCCAAGCCTAGAAGAGAGGAGACCACCTTATAGTCAAATTCCAAGTCAGGAGACTCAGTGGAAGTCAAGGCACCAAGTCCATGCCCTCAGGGGCTACTGAGCTCTACTCAGCAAAAACTCATTTCTCAGACCCACACCCACTTATTTACCCACTCACTCGTTCTTCTACACAGCAGCCAGAGTGATCCTTCCAAAACAAAAATCAATTCACTCTAATTCGGCCACGCTAGCCACCTTGCTATTCCTTAATTAAGCCATGCATGCTCCTGTCTCAGGTTTTTGTAATTGCTGTACCTTCTGCCTGCAACGCTCTTCCCCCAGATAGCCCTCATTTGCTTCCTCACTTCCTTCAGGTCTCTCTTCAAAAGTTACCTCATCAGGGCCGGCCCCGTGGCTTAGTGGTTGGGTGCGCGCGCCCCGCTGCTGGCGGCCCGGGTTCGGATCCCGGCGCGCACCGCCTCTCCAGCCATGCTGAGGCCACATCCCACCTAGAGCAACTAGAAGGATGTGCAACTATGACATACAACTATCTACTGGGGCTTTGGGGGGAAAAAAAGTAAATAAATAAAATTAAAAAAAAAAAGTTACCTCATGAGAGAGGCACTGGCATTCTCTGACTACTCTATCTAAAACTAGCAGCTGCCTACTCCCATCACCTTCTATCTCTATTTTGAGTTATTTTTCTTTAGAACCCTTCCTATTCACTTTATATGTATACGGGTGTGTGTGTATTCCCCCCCACCCTTTTAGAAAAAGGGCAGGGATTTTGTCTACTTTGTTCACTGTCATATCCCGAACACCTGAAACAGTACCTAGCATATAGCAGGAACTCAGTTTTATTGGATTACATATTGAGATCAAAGCGCTTCGTAGGTTCAGAGAAGAGTGCCATCAATTGTGCCTGTCAGTTACCTGAGTTAGGCCTGATGAAGGAGTAGGCCTTCATTAGGTTAAAAAAAAAAAGGAAGAGGAGCATTCCAAGCAGAAGGAAAAAGAACAAGCAGGGCTGGCCCCGTGGCTCAGCGGTTAAGTGCGCGCGCTCCGCTGCTGGCGGCCCCGGTTCAGATCCCAGGCACGCACCGACGCACCGCTTCTCCGGCCATGCTGAGGCCGCATCCCACATACAGCAACTAGAAGGATGTACAGCTATGACATGCAGCTGTCTACTGGGGCTTTGGGTGGAAAAAAATAAATAAATAAAATCTTTAAAAAAAAAAAAAAAGAACAAGCAAAGGCACAGAAGCATGCAAACTCATAGCTTCTTTCAGAAAACAGTGAGAAATTTGGTGTGGCAGAAATACAAGGTGTATGAGATTGAGGTTGGAAAGCAGATAGAGGCCAGGTTGTAAAATGTCTTAAACCCTATGCTAAGGGGTTTGGACTATAACCTATAGGTAGTTACCAAAAGTTTTTAAGGAAAATGACATGATCAGCTAGATAGAGTTTTAGAAAGCTAGGTGGGCTAGAGAGAAGAAATTAGAAATAGAGACCTAGTGAGAAGGCTGTTACAAGAGTCCAAGTGAGAGCCAGTGAGGCACGAAGAGAGGCAGTGATAGTGTGGGCAGAGAGAGAGGAATGGCAGACAACAACCTAGTGGTCACAGGAGGACTCCTCACTCCTAGGCCAGTTGTCAAAAGGGCAACTGGTAGTGCAGCCATTCCCCTGCCCGAAACATAGCTCAGCGTGGACAGCCACTGGGGACAGACTCAAGGAGACAGAACCCTGGTCCTTGCTGCCCTGACAGGAAGGCTCTGGGAGAAAGAAATGACAAGACATAAGACATAGCCCCACTGAGGGTCAGCTACAAGGCCTACAATCCCCAGTCGTAAGATTGTAACCCCTCTGGCATTCAAAAATGGGCTCTGGCTGTGATAGGATATTTTCAAAGTCAAACCAGGCTTGGATTGTCTGTGAAACTGTGTGCTTCATGCCTCACAAAGGAGAATGACAAAAAACAGAAATCTGAGAAAAGCACAGAATTGCTATCACACCAGCACTGGCCCACAAAACCCACTCTCATCAAGTTCCTTCCTTTTGGAAGCATCACTCCTTAACATTTTTTCAGTTCACAGACAGTTTTGAGAATCTGCTGAAAGCTACAGTCCCTCTTTCCAAAAAAAAAGCACAACAAATTTTCAGACAATTTCAGGAGGTTCCTGGACTCCCTAAATACATCCTTGAACTCCTGAAAGATTAAGATCTCCTTGATTTGTAAGGAGCCCATCAAGACAAGAAGAAAAAACCCAAATACATAGGGGTTGCTTCCCCCACTACTCTCAGGGTATCCTCCCTGAGTAGGAGCCAAGCACCTCAGACAACTTAGTAAACCACATGGTTCTTACTCCATGGTTCTTAGCCCATGGTTCTGTGTAAAGCCAATGCCTCTGAACTGGTCTCCAATCCTGCCCCAATCTCTCTCCCCTACCCACCCTCCATGACTAAAATGATGTCCCTGAAGCATAACTTTGATGAGAATAACATTAATAGGGCCGGCCCCGTGGCTTAGCGGTTAAGTGCGCGTGCTCCGCTGCTGGCGGCCCGGGTTCGGATCCCGGGCGCGCACTGACGCACTGCTTCTCCGGCCATGCTGAGGCTGCGTCCCACATACAGCAACTAGAAGGATGTGCAGCTATGACATACAACTATCTACCGGGGCTTTGGGGGGAAAATAAATAAAATCTTTAAAAAAAAAAAAAATAACATTAATAGTAAAGAGTGCTATATTGATGTAATGAGTGCTATATTGTGGTACTATACTAGGTGTTTAATATGCATCATTTCATTTAATGCTCACCACAACCCTATGAGGCAGGAGAACCCGGATTCCAGAGCCAGACTGCATGGATCTCAAATCCAGCCCAGCTGCTCATTAGTTGTGTGACCTTCAGCACACTACTCAATTTCTCTGTGCCTCAGTTTCTTCATTTGTAATGAGTACCTACCAGATATGATTATTGTGAGGATTAAAGGAATTAACAGAAGTCAAGTGTTTAGAACAGTAGCTGGCACTAGTGAGCTACAGTGTCAGCTATTACTACCATTATTTTCCAGATAAGGATACCAAGTCTCAGTTATCCAATGCCACATGTCTAGTAAGTGATGAAGGCAGGATCCAAATCTAGGTTTTCTTGACTCCAAAGCCCATGTTTATAACTACTGTGCATTATTGCCTTTCCCCTGCTTGGAAACTCTTTTCAGTGGTTCCCTAGAACAGATCTTGGCAATTTAGAGCAATATGTAGTAAAGGGCACATGGTCTGAAGCCACCCAGCCCTGGCAATTTCAGCCATTTATAAACAACTCTCGGCCACCAGAAAAATCCCCTTCCCCCAGAATGCAAGCTCCTGGCATTCAAGATTCCCACACATCGTCCCCCATATACTTTTCCAGCCTTATCTCTTACTTCTCTTAAGCATACAGCCATTCCTCAAGCCAGTAGCTAGGATTATTGCAAAGCCTCCTAATTTATAACCCCATTTCTAGCCTTGCCCCTCTCCAATCTGTTTCCCACACAGCAGCTAGAATGATATTTGAAAAATTCAAATCTGGTCACGTCATTCCCCAGCTTAGAACCTTTCATGGCTCCCTCTTCCTTTTAGAGAAAAAGCCCAAAATCCCATATGGCCTATAAGACCTTCATAATCTGGCTCCTGCCTGCTTCTGTAGCCTCATATTTAGCCTCTCACCCCCATCTCCAGCCCCCTGTCACCAGCTTTAATTTCTACTCAGTTTTCAGGTCTTAGCTTAAATTTCACTTCCTCAGAAAAGACTGGGTTAGATCTCCTAATTATAGTCAGGTGTTGCTTAATGACAAGGATACATTCTAAGAAACTCATTGTTAGGCAATTTTGTCATTGTGCGAACATTATAGAGTATACTTACACAAACCTAGATGGTGTAGCCTACTACGCACCTAGTCTATACGTACCAATCTTCAAGATCACAGTCGGTGTATACATTGTTTCATTGACCGAAACATCGTTAAGGGGCACATTTCTGTATAAGACTTCTTAGCATCTTATACTGTTCCTCTGGAGCACTTATCACAATCATAATTAGTTTTGTTTTTGTTTTTGTCTTTTTTTGTGAGGAGGACTAGCCCTGAGCTAACATCCGATGCCGATCTTCCTCTACTTTACATGGGATGCCGCCACAGCATGGCTTACCAAGCAGTGTGTTGGTGTGCGCCCAGGATCCGAACCCGCGAACCCTGGGCCACCGAAGCACAGCACAGGCACTTAACCGCTTGCGCCACCGGGCCGGCCCCCCGTAATTTGTTTTTTAATAGTTGTCTTCCTCACTAGACTAGAAGCTCCATGAGGGCTTCTACACCCATAACCCAGGCATTAAAGAATCCCTGGCATTTGGTAGACAATAAATATTTATTGAATGAATCAATCAATCCTTCAAAAATCAATTCCCGGGGCTGGCCCCGTGGTGTAGTGGTTGAAATTCGGCACACTCCCCTTCGGTAGCCTGGGTTCGTGGGTTCGGATCCTGGGCATGGACATACACTACTCATCAGCCATGCTGTGGTGGCAACCCACATATAAAATCAAGGAAGACTGGCACAGATGTTAGCTCAGGGCTAATCTTCCTCAAGCTAAAAAAAAGAGGAGGATTGGCAAGAGATGTTAGCTCAGGGCGAATCTTCCTCAGAAAAAAAAAAAAAAAAATCAATTCCTACATCCTACAATTAACACTGAGCTCCCCTTTTCTCAGTTTCTTTTTGTTTAAAGAATGCCTTCATTTTTATTGTTTTTTTATTTTGTTTTATTTTAATTATTATTATTATTTTATTGGGGTTTTTTCTTGGTGAGGAAGATTGGCCCTGAGCTACCATCTGTGCCAATCTTCCTCTAGTTTGCGTGTGGGACGCCACCACAGCATGGCTTGATGAGTGGTGTACAGGTCCACGCCTGGGATCTGCACCTGCCAAACCCAGTCTGCTGAAGCCGAGCATTCCTACCTAACCACCACCCTGCCAGGCCTGCCCCTTTCAATTTCTAATGCACAATTTAGCATTTGACTACAGGGTCTTTTTTCATTCAACTTCATATACATCTGAGCATTGGATCAGAAGACCAAAAGTTCTCCCTCCTCCTCCCTCCACCCCATCTGTTACTAACTTTGTGCCCTTAGGCAAGCCCAACTTCCTAGGCAAGTTCCATTTCTTTGGTACCATGAGGTTACTTGTCCTACTCACTCTGATGGGTGGCTATGAGGGCAAAATGAGAAAGCAGCTGTAAAGAACACAAACTTTAACTGGAGAGGGTGCAGTAAGTGCTCAAGGAAGAGGTGGCTGTTTTCTATAAGAGACAGTAGAGCAGATTTAAAGCGCAGGTTCTGGGATCAGACTGCCTGGGTCTAAATACTAACTGTACCACTCACTATCTAAGGAACCTAAAGTAAGCGAAACCAAGAATGAAGGAGTTAAAATTTCCCTGGATTAGGGCGAAACCTGCCTGTACCCACAAGGTTGGCATGGGAAACAAAGTAACCAAAGTTTCTGAGCTTGTTTTGCAG